TATGAGGAGAAATTGAGGGAGCTGGGCCTGCTTAGTCTGGAGAAGGGCAGACTTAGAGGGGATCTCAATGCTTTTAAGTATCTCCGAGGCGGGTGCCAAGAGGACGGTGCCAGGCTTTTTCCGGTGGTGCCCTGCAACAGGACGAGAAGCAATGGCCATAAACTAAAACACAGAAAGTTCCACCTCAACATGAAGAAGGACTTCTTTATGCTGAGGGTGGTAGAGCACTCGAACAGGCTGCCCAAGGGAGGTCATGGAGTCTCCGAGCTCTCTGGAGATATTCCAAGCCCACCTGGACGCCTCCCTGTGCGACCTCCCCGAGGTGACCCTGCCTTGGCAGGGATCTCCAGCGGTCCCTTCCAAGCCGGGAGGGCCCCGGGTGTCCCGGGAAGCGGCGCGCGGACACCTGTTGGCGCCGCCGCCGCCGTCACGCGGCGCTCAGCCGGGCGCGCGCGTCACGGGACCGGGCGCGCGTGCCGCCGCCGCCGCCGTCACCTGCCCGCGCCCCGCGGGGGACACGGCGGGGGCAAGGGGGAGAGCCCCTGGGAAAGTGGGAAATGTTCCCCCCCGAGGCGGCCCCCGGTGAACGGTGGGAAAAAGGGGTGAAAGCAAACAGTCCCAGCTGGCGCGCCCTGCGGCTGCTCTGCCTGGGAACCACCGCTTAACTTAGTCCTGACGGGGCTTCGCCGCTCGCCGCGCACGGCACGGCAAAGGGCAGCGTGTGCATTTCGCCGGGTAGGTGGGGAAGCGGCGGCGGCTCCGCCGGTGAAGTTTAAAAACAGAAAAAATAAATCCGAAAGCAGCGCGTGAGCAGAAATGAGAGATAAACGGAGCTTAATGGAGTGTGCTGGGGCGACACTGACCCTGCAGGTAACGTGGGGCCCTCGAGAAAAGTTTGTACCACGGCGAAGCTATTAAAGAGCCAACCGGACAGCTAAAAAGGAATGGATCGTGAAATGTCACCATTTTTAATAAAAGCCTGTTTATGATAGTGTTTCAGGTTCTTGGCATTATTAAATACCGTGCTAGGAACAAGTATAATGAATGATAAGAAGGAGAAGCTCAGTGGTGTTACTTGTCTGTTGAAAACACAATAGTACAGCTTAATTTAAGGGCAGCAGCGTGGAAAATAAAGGGAATTGCCTAAACTCTTAAGGGTAGAAATACTGAAAATTTAGCTTTTACTACTTCATCAGCAACAAAAAACAATAAAGCAGGGAAATATAATAAGAAAATATATTTAATTTAGAACAGATGGCAGGAAGCTTTTTTTCCCCCTTGCATGGAACCACGACTGTGCAGAATGATCAGTGGGGAATTTTGGTAGGGTGAAAACACCAGAGTTATTCTAGGACTCAGCACATGAAAGATTTGGTGAAGGAAAGAGAAAATTAGAATGGAATTTGCTTTTTAAATTGCCCAGAACTTCTAAATAGTTTCTCTTGCCAATTTTAACTGCAACGTGACAAAGCTTTTGCCTCATCATCCCCAACAAATTTATTACAAAAATACAAAACATATCCTAGTAAAAAATAGGGAACTGTTCAAACATTAATTCTCTTGCTGTGCGACGTTCCATTCCCTTCATGTAAGGCAGAGAATTGAGACTGGCCAAAACTATACAGGATGATGATGACTTTAAGTAGTCTTTGCAAAGACCTTTGCTGGTGTTCTTTGTCAGAATCACAGGAATTAAAGAGAATCTTTTACAACTTCGTTCCTTTGAAAACAGGGAGGTCCTTTTACTAGATAAACGCATAGAATCGTAAAACCATAGAGTGGTTTGGGTTGAAAGGGACCTTAAAGATTATCCAGTTCCAACCTCCTTGTCATGGGCAGGGAGAGCTTCCACTAGACCAGGTTGCTCAGAGCCCCTCCAAGCTGGCCTTGGACACTGGCAGAGTTGGGGCATCTGTGCAATGGTGAGCAACTCCAATGATTTTCAGTTCCACTGCAGTGCTTCCTGTTTGCCTTTGCGATGCTCAAGCACTCAGAGGGTAACTTAAGCAAGCAGAAGAGGAGGCATGGAATCTCTCTTCTCTGCCATTCTCCCCCTTATGTCCATCATTGAGACACATATCCTTTCAGTAATTTTGGATCTCTGCTCCAGGTGCCCCAGAAGCAGTGATGGTTGTTTTCTAAAACTGTATTTAGATGGGTTTGACTTTCACTGCTTGGTATTTCAAACTTTTTGCTATTCAAACCACATCACTGTCTCATACAGTACTCCACCTGTAAGTTTTTGCGTAGCGTGCAATTATAATGTGAGACTGTCAAGTTCCTTGCCTCCTTGAAATGGGAGGGAACAGTCAATTTTCAAGATTGACTTTCCAAGACATTTCCAAGCGCAAACGCTTTCCTGAAGAGTCTGAGGCAATAGCATCCCCTTATGCCTTCCTCACAGCTTTTTCTGCAGAAATGGCAGCAGGCTCCTGCTCTCTGGTAGAAGAGTTAAGCTTCCCTAATGACCTGGTTTTGGCTGGGAATAAGTTAATTTTCTTCCCAGTATCTGTAATAGTGCTGTGTTTTAGATTTAGGATGAGAATAATGTTGATAACACACTGATGTCTTGGTTGTTGCTGAGCAGTGCATACACTAAGTTAAGGACTTTTCAGTTTCTCGCACAAACCCACCAGTGAGTGGACTGAGGGTGCACAAGAAGTTGGGAGGGGACACAGCATGTACAGCTGACCCTAACTGACCAAAGAGACATTCCATACCATATGGCATCATGCTCAGCATATAGAGCTGGGGGAAAGCTGGCTGGGGTGCGCTGCTTGGGAACGGGCTGAGCACCAGTCAGCAGGTGGTGAGCAATTGCACTGTGCATTGCTTGTTTTGTATATTCTAATTAGTGGTGGTGGTGGTGGTGGTAGTAGTAGTAGTAGTAGTAGTAGTAGTACTTTCCCTTCCGTTTCTCTCCTATTAAACTGTCTTTATCTCAACCCATTAATTTTACTTTTTTCCCCCCAGTTCTCTCCCCCATCCTGCTGGGGGAGGGGAGGGCGATGGGAAGTGTGAGCCAGCGGCTGTGTGGTGTTTAGCTACCTGCCAGGTTAAACCACAACACCTAAGCAGCACACCTGTGCTCACTGCACTTTGCTCCTTGTGTTTGTAAGTTTGTTTTGGCACTCCTCACTCCCACCATCTCCAGAGGGCTGCACAGAGCAGCGTGTGTAACACAGCTCCAGGGATGACACTTCCAGCCCGCAATGGGCTGCGGCAGCCATGACTTGCCAGTTTCATTCAGGTTTGGATTTCAAGATGATTTTCACAACCCCAAGTACTAGACTCTGAGCTCATCACCCTGTTCCTAGAGCCAGGGCTGTAAGTTCAGGCCTAGAGTGCATACACCACGATTTGTTCTTTTGTATAAGGGCAGGGGGGAGGAAATGGAACTAATTTCATCAGCTCACTCTAACAGCGTATCTCAGCTGATTCAGAGACGCCAGAAGCTTTAGACATGATTGAAGAAAGCTGATGCTTAAACTCTCTTAACCTGTGACGTGATACTAGTGCCCACTTCTGATCTTTAAGATATGATAAGCCTGAAAGAAATAGTCCAGATCCTCTCAGGTAAATGATTCATTTCTTTATATAAGAGGAAAAAAAAAGGAATCATTGCTATTGAGGGGTCTGAGGCCTGTGCATTAGTAAGACATAAACAATAATAATAATTAGCTTTCATTTCTTTGCCTTTATTTCCTAAATTCCCTGTTGTAATTTTACAGATGGGGAAAAAGAGCAGAGGTAAATGGAGTTCTACAAAGGCACAAGCCAGGACAGAGACGAAGCAAAAACCAAACCCGGACAGTCAGTTGCTTTGGCAGCTGAGATTTCCCACTCCTCTCCTCAAAGCCCTCATCCTACCACAGCTGAAGAAGTGCTACCCCTTGGTTCTTGGAAATGGGCAGTTCGGATAGCACAGGAGTGAGAAGGCAAAGAGACAAACAGGAAAATAGTAGGAAAGAGAGAAAATGTAGTCCAAGAAGAGGTGAGAGCAACAGTAAATGAAACGCAATGCTTGGTGACATAGGTAAATGATTTGGAGATCATTAGGAGCAAAACAAACAGGGTAACCAGAAAGACAAAGTAATAAAAAGAAGATGAAATTGAAAAGGTTCTGCTCACAGAAAGATATTAGGAAAAGTAAATAAATTACAAGTTGATGTTTTTGAGGACACAAACAGAAGGTCTGCCAAAAAGGCAGTGCCTGCAGAACAAGCCTAAATTATTATCTGATGTAACTTGTTATTTTCTTTACAGTTATTTGTGTAGTACTCCATGTGGTAAGTAAAGAGACTCCTTCTTAGGAATAAAGATTCTCAATCCAGTCAAGAATTAAATTTAGAAATGAAGGGCTCAAAAGGAAGCCATAAAAATAATAATGATAATTGCTATTATTTTATTAATTGCCATTATTTTACTACTTACAAGATGGAGGGGGAAATGTTAGTTTTTATTAAAAATATTAACTAATTATTAACTTATAGAATTTTATGATATTTTTAAAATATTATAAACCATCCCCATGGCCTTGATCCTTTTTTAAAATCCATCTCTCTGTAATAAACGTTACAGTCTTTGAGATATTTGCCTAGGGTAAGATGAGCTTGAGCTTTTTTTATTTTCTTCCCCTCTCTAATTTTTCTTTAAGTGAGCACAATCAAGTAAGATTGTCCCTTTGAAAGTATCAAGGCCAATGCAAAATGCAGTTCTTTTGTATCCATTATAAATCCAGTTTAAAGCTGCTTCATTATTATATAATTAATGTACTTAATTTAAGATCCCTCTGAATGCTCCTTCATCTCCTTGTTTAATAATCTGCTATGCTTGCATGTCTGAACCTTGTCTGGTCCTGGCTTCTCCCATTCCTAATCAGCTCTTACGTGGTCAGCAGGAATTATGCTCTCAACAGCTCCTCTTGCTTAATATGATCACAGTTCAGTCTATGGGTTTGTCTAACAGGCAATCGTTCTATTTGTTCATATGTGACCTCCTTTACTTTTAATTTTGGATCTCCACGAGCAAGAAAGAATCGTCTATTGTCTTACAAGCCAGGCAAAGTGAACAGGCTGAGTCAGTCCAGGAATATTCAAGCCTCCCCATCTGTGGTATTGCAGAATTCCAGGGCAATTCCACCAGTTGGTGGAGCTTCTGTCTGGGAAAACAGAGCTATTGTGAACAAAGCATACTGTGCATATTTCTAACATTCATAAATGACTGGGTTTGAATCATTTGAATCTTTCTCAAAATTTCTTCCTTTGGGGCAAAAATTTCCAATGCATGGCCTCAATCCAGTTATAGTCATTTGGAAAATCTGAGCATAAACCACACGACCATTTCTTCAACTAGCTGTGAAAAGATAAACTTTTTGACTGTAAAAGTGTGACAGCAGGCTAGATTAGATTGAGACTTAATTTAGTCAAGACTACGACTCAGTTTTGGCAGGGGGTAGGCTAAGATATACCTTCTCCTCTTCCCCATTTTGACAAGGACAACTTTCAAGCAAAGGAGGTGGAATAAGTTCCTCTTTCAGTTTGGAAATACAGCAGTGATAAACTGGGTGTCCTGACAACCTGTTGTAGCACGCTACCTCACATCTAGAAACTTGTTGGCCTAACCATGTAAGGCAGCTGAGGCAGAGCTGCTGTTCTGGGCTATCAAACTCAGCTAAGTGTCATTTTGACCAGGATCACATCCTGTTTTCAAGACTTTAGTCGCCCTGATCAGCGCCAGAAACTGTTACATTTATTTTCTGAATTTTCCTCTGAAGGGCAGGATTCTGACTCAGACCTAAATCCAATGATGTTTTAGGATGACCAGCTTAAAAACTGCAGTGTATGTTATAGTGTCCCATCCCCACAAATTCAGAAATCCAAATTAATCATCTAACTCTTCACATGCTTGCAGGGTGAGAAAAGGATACGAAACAGACTTACTGCAACAAGTTGGTACGGGCTATATCCCAAATCCCACCCCTCTGGAGCAAGAATACGTAGGTTAGGACTGCAGGAAATCTCAGGGTATTAGAACCCTACCTTGAAGATGCTCACCTGTGAGCTTTTTCAAAGACAGACCTGGAAGGAGGTGGGTACTATCTTCTGTTGGCTCTGTAGCTTTTTCAGTTACACCACTTCCTAGAAAACAGAAGAACTGTGATTCAGCTCCTTTCTCCCCTTTAGGAGACTCATATCCACGTTGACCTTTATGTGAGAGAATGGCCTCATCACCAGGTTATTGGTTGCCTAGGAAGGTATGGAGGGGAAAAGGAGCTTTTACATAGAAATTGTGCTCAGTCAGGCAAGAAAGTTCGCTTAAGGCCATTGATAGTATTTTTATACTATAGGTGTGTAATATAAAATAACACAAGCCATACTTGGAGCAGGAATGGATAGGCAGATCTCCTCCATCCCAGCAGACAGCCTGAAGCACTAGACTACAGCGCTTGCACACTAACCTGAAAGTGGCTTCACCACTTCAAACAGGTGGGTGATATACCACCCAGAACGATGCAGGGATTACAGCAATCTCCTGGGAGGTGGGGAATGTAGGTTGAGTTTCCCCATCCCCACCCTCGCCCCCTGCCCCAGACAAACTATGTGAATGGATGTTCTATTTTCTCTGCAAGTGCTGAAACTACTGAGCTATTGTGTAATTTGGATGCACCAACTGACTCCTCTTTTGGGTTTTTCCTAGAAGGTGGCATTTAGGCAGACGAACAGTTGGTTTCTACACCCTGGAGGAAGATAGGAAATTTTATAAAGAAAACCCCCAGGGGATACTCTTTGCATAGGAGGTTAGACTAGGTGTCATTTTTGTGGCACTACTGAATCTATCATAGAATGATTTGGGTTGGAAGGGACCCTAAAGATCATCTAGTTCCAACCCCTGTGTCATAGGCAAGGAAACCTTCCACTAGACCAGGTTCAAAGCCCCATCCAGCCTAGTCTCAAATATCTTCAGGGATGGGGAGTTCACAACCTCTCTGGGCAACCTATTCCAGTGCCTTGGCATCTTCACAGTAAAGAATTTCTTCTAATCACAATCTGCCCTTCTGCAGCTTAAAGCCATTCCCCCATGTCCTAACACTGTCCAATTTAGGTGCCTTCAGATAGATGGCAGCTGATCAGGATTTCTGGATTGTGTTTTTTGACTTGGGTATCCTGTGGTAAAAGCCTAAAACCAGTGATATTTTCATTGCCTTGACCCCAGAAATTTGCAGCCCAATGACTGGCCTGGACTGTACAAGTTCTGGTCTTGGGGAAGCCAACTGCAGATTCTGATAAGGAGTTGTCCTCAAGTTAGTTGGCCATAAATGCAAATGCATGGGTGGGCACTGAAACCCCTCAGCCTCTCCACACTGTCTGCTCCCAGCGCCCCTGTGTAACCATCAGTCTCCCCAACTCTGGCAGCACCCACCAAATGTCACTTGACAATCTTCCACACTTCCCGGACCTTTATTTCTCCCAAGGCCTCCTTCACATTGCAGCAGGCTTCCCCCCCTTGTTGCAGTGCTTGGTTTTATTATCCTGAGTTATCCAGTAAGCCCCGGGAGCGACATCCGCTGGCCCTCACTCCTGCACCATCGCCTCCAGCGAATCAGCGAATCAAGCTGTGTACGCATCAGTTAGACAATTTGCCGTGTGTTGTTCCTGGCCCCTTATCTCTCCCTCCGCTTCGGTGTTTATGCTTAATAATTGGGAGTTCCTTGCATGAAGAACTTCCTTTTCGCCGCTTGGGAAGCACACGGCATATAGTGAGTGACCTCTTGCGTCACAAACAACTGCAGGACAGCAGACCGTGCTCTCCCCAGAGGGAACTGCTGCCTGGCTGAGCGCCGCTGCCGCTGAGCGCCCGGCTCCCTGCGCAACACCCGCATCTCCCCGAAGCGCGTAGCGCTCTCAACGCCACTTTCTAATCATTTTCTCCAAATATCCCGTTTCCTGTGTAGCAGTTCTTTAAATAGCGCCTCGAAGATTATTTTAAAGGCTTTCAAAACACTCTTGCCACCGGTTTTGGGTTTGGAGTGGGTTTTGTTGGCTGGGTTTTTTTTTTTTAGCCTTCTCGCATGACGATATTTTCACGTCGTGGGAGACAGGAACAGCTCGAGGAAGCTGCGAAGTTGAACGGAGTACTCGGGGGAGGAAAAGCAGGAGGGGGGAGGCAATACTGTTTCTAGGACCGTCGACCTGGCACCGACGTTTTGTTCTCGCACGCGCTCTCAGTGAGGAGCTGCGAGTTTCAGGATGACGGTGGGGCTTTAATCCCCCTGGGGGTAGCCCGCTTGGAGGGGGGTGAATGGCCCCGGAGGGCAGAGGCGCTCCGCGGAGTCCCTTTCCCAGCAGAGAGGCCGAGATGCAAAGGAGAAATGACAGCATGGAAAGCGGAGTATTTTTATCAGGGCCGGTGCCCGGGGTGAGCGGTGGGCGGAAAGTGCCACCCTCTCTCTCTCCCTTCCCTTGCCCTCAGCCGCCCGCGCCGGCAGCGGCATCAAAGGGAATCTCCCTTGTCGCGGCATGTCAGCACCGAGGATGAGCGCACCGGCCCGTCATGGCATTTTCGCTTCTCCCGGCGCTTACTCAACAAGCGGGAGGGGAGGGAGGGCTGGTTTGGAGGGGGGGGCGGGGGGAGGACTCCCAACCAGTGCTGCTCCTGCCATGAGGTCACCGCGGCGCTATGCGCCGTGCCCGCCGCCGCCCCTGCTCCGCTCCGTTGCGTCAGGCAGGGGGTATCCCCGCCGCGGCCGGCCGAGCGGGGCATCCCCGCCGCGGAAACACCCCGCGCGTCCCTCACCGCCGGGGCAGGGGGGTGATCCTGCCTCCAGCTCCTCCGCCACCCTCCACCCCTCGCCCCCCAGCCCCCCGCTGCTCCACCGCAGCAGGCGCTTGGCCGCGGGTCGGGAATGTCAACAGTGGTTCGCCGGGTGGGGCAGGCAGGGATGGGATGGGGATGGGATGCGATGGGATGGGATAACAGCACGCTGCACCGAGGTAATCGTCCCGAGCAGGCCATGCGGAGGGGAAGCCCAGCCGCCAAACGCAGCCCGACACGCCTTTTTTAAGGGGGAGGGGGGAGAGTGGGAGAAGAGAGTCGGGTCAGACGGCCTCCGACAGCGTCCAACAGCGGCTTTTCCTCTCCGGAGGGGCTGCCAGAGAGGTGTTCGGGTGCTTGTCGGGATCCCCCCCATCCTCTGCCCCGCACTCCACCCCCTGCGCAGAGGAAGCCGGGCGGGGGCGTGGCCCCACGACAATGGGACTCGCCGGCGCTATAAATACCCGCCCGCATCTATATTTGGTTTGGCCGGATCACAACCCGGGAAGGAGGGGGGGAGTTGGGGGGGGTGTGCGCCAAAAATAGCCCCGCGCGCCCGCCCGCCGCCGCCACTCAATGGGCCGCGGCCCCGCCCCCTCCCCCGCGCGCGATCCCGAGCGCCCCGCGCGGGGCCCGGCGGCGCTAAATTTAGCAGCGCCGCTTGCGTCAATGACGCGGCCGCCGTGCGTCAGCCCCGCCGCGCCCCGCCCCGCCGTGCGGGGCCCGCCGCGTCCTGTGCGTGGATTGGCCGCGGCGGCGGCACGAGGGTGGTGACGTGGGCGCGCGGGCCGGGCCCCGCCGGGGGCCGGCGGCGGCTGCAGGGGGAGCGTGGCCGCGCGGGGAGCCCGGCGGGATCCCCCGCGGGGGGAGCGGGGCCTGGCAGCGCCGCCGGCATTGCCGGCAGGCAGGGAGGGAAGGGAGGGAGGGGGGGACGCCCCGGCGCCCGCGAGGGGACGGTGAGCACCACCTCGGGAAGAGGATCCCGGTCTCGGACACGACCGCGGGTCCGCGGCGTCCGCCGAGTGCTGTGCCAGCCCCAGCTTCGCCTCCCGGGTTCCGCGGCTGTGCCGGTGGCGGGCTGGTGCATCGAGAGGCAAAGCGAAAGTGCCGCCGCCGCCGGTCGCTCTTTCTCGGGGCGGCGGGCGCCTCGCCCGCCCCCGGTCCCCGTCCGTCGAGACAGCTCGCCTGGCGGAGCCCCTCCGTGCGAGGCACAGCCGCGGCACTGGCCGGCACGGCCGCGGTGACAGCCGCGGCCATCCCGGCTGCCGGCAGCGGATGTAAACACGGTACCGGGCAAGGCGGCGGGGGGCCTATCCGCCCCAAGCCCGGTGCCCCGGACAAGCACACGGACACAGGCAGACACCCACAGACACAGGTACACAGACTGACAGACACAGGCACACACGGGCGGGAGCCAGGACGCTCTCAGGGCCGCTCGCACGAGTGCCCGCTCTGTGAGCGGCGCCTCCCCGCAACCTGCTCCTTGCTCCTGCGCACTGGAAAGTTTCGAAAGAAAAGAAAAGAAGGGGGGAGAAAAGGAAAAAAAAATGGTAGAAGAGGGAAAAATAGGCGGAAAGAAAGTAAGGAAAAAAAAAGGAAAAAATGAAAAAAAAAAAAAAAAAAAAGGACACAAGTAAAAAGTGAAAAAAGTGAAAGAAACCCTTAGTAATTCATACTGACACTGCAACTAAGTAACTAGTCAAAGCTCTTCTCATTTGAGCCACTTCAGTAAAGATATATTAACGTTGTTATTGTAATAATAATAATAATAATAGTAATAATAATAATAATAATAAATATTTGACTTGGGAGCGACTCGCCAGGCTGTGGCAGGCTGCCGGCCCCGAGGCGGCCGGCCGGCCGGCTAACCCCGTCCCGCTGCCGGCAGCTCTGCCGGCGGCTCCGCACCTCGGCGCGGCTGTGCGCGGCTGTGCAGGGCTCGGCGCGGTGCGGCGGGAGCGCGGCGCACACACTGGGGCGGGGGGGGGGGGTCAGTAGCGTCAGGCTCCCATGGCGTCACTATTGACGTTTCGCATTCCAGCCGCTCTATGGAGAGGCCGCTAGGGCTCCTCTCACATAAATGACGTTCAGAGAGAGGGAGCGGGAGAGCAGCGCAGAGAGGCGCCTCCGTCCCCTCTCTCCGGCGCAGGCACACGCGCACCTCGGGGCACTCGCACCGGGACACGGGCACAGGTCCCGGCCCGGCTCCCGCCGCACACACACACAAAGGCACATCGCGGCGGCGGCGGCGGCGGCCGCTCGGCATCCCTCGCCCGCCCGCCTGTTCACTCCCTCCCTCCGCCCGGGGACGGGCTCCTGGCTCCTCAGGCTTTTGCAATCCTTTTCCATGCCTCGGGATAACGCACCCTCCGGACCTGCAGCTACTGGGAGTCTGAGGGATTTTGTGTCTCGGGTCCTGCCGCTGGACAGCGCCTACACGCGCCTTTAAGGAAGCGGGCACCTACAAACTAGATGTAAAGACGGAACCTCCACAGCAACCGAGTACGTATGCGAGTGAGCGGGAGCGGCTACGGGAGAGGGACAACGCGGCGTGTCCCCACTCCGTGAAAGTTGTGCCGCCGGGGTAGATAGATGCTGGGGAGATGCCGGCGGCGGGCGATGTGGCTCAAGCCGACGCGCTGCCGTGCCGGGCTCTCGCTGAAACTTTTCCCTCACCTTCCCCCCCCACCCCCCCCATCCTCCCCGTGGATGCTCATTTGTCGCTCGACTTCCGAGACTCCCTGCCGGCTCGGCAACTCCCGTCGTGCCCGGGGCACCGCTGCCCCTCGCAAACGGGAGGGCTGTGGTTGAGAGGAGCGGGAGCCGGAGCCGGTGGTACTAAGGTATTTCTGCTAGTTGTTGTCATGGAAATGATGCTGCCGGCGGCGGCGGGGAGTTTACAGCGCCGGTGATGAATGGCAGCAATTTGTCTCTTTCCTTTAGCCGCGCTTGGGAAATAGGTGGTTCTGTTTGCACAAGTTCAACTGTCTAATGGGGACGGCGGGGCAGGTTGAGCATATCTCACTTTGGGAGTCAGCAGCCCCCCTCGGCAGCCCGAAGAGCTCGCCCAAGAGGTAATTGCTGGAATGTGACATATTTTATTGAAATGAGTTGGGATGTTTGCTCGGCACGTCTGCCGGGCATCTGCTCCTAGGAAATGTACATTTTTCCCTTCGGAGGTCAGGAGCGTTAACGAGGGGCCGCGGTGCCCCAGCACGGGCGGTACCGTGCGGAGAGGCTGGGCTCCGCCGCCGCTGCCCCGCTCCCTGCCCCAGCGGCGCTTCTCGCCTTTGCCTTCTCGCCTTAATAGCTGCGAAAGAAGTTTCAATCTTGGAAAGAGGCGACAAAGCGCGGGCGCTGGGTTGTGATATTATGTCGGGGGACGGTTATCAGGGCAGCATTATCGCGATACTCTGTCCCGGGCGGAGATGCGGCTCACCTTAGCGCGGCTACTTAAAAACGCTGTTACTTAACTCTCAATTTTTGGATACGATGGATTCCGTGCGAGGATATTTCCCAGGGAAAGGGCGGAAAACGCTGTTTTATGTAGGGAGGCTGGTGTGTTGGGATAGGATTTTTTTCTCCAGGAAAAAAAAGTTTGGGAATGAATCGCTAACTTTTATCCAAGCCGCTTCACTCGATTACATTCTTCGTCCTATTTTTCTCTCCTCCGTGGAGACCGTTGTATGCTGGAGTCAAGCCCCGATAAAAAACAATGGACTAAACCAGACCAGACGGTTTCTTCGGAGGTGAATCTCACCCGATCTCGTGGATATTTGCTGGAGTGACCGTGCGGCTCGGGGCGATCCCTCCCCCCTCCAAAAAAAAAAAAAAAAAAATCGCCAGCTAACCGGCGGTGGAAATCGAGCTCGAAACTTTTTAATTGAATGGAGCTTCCCCCTCCGCAGTCCCTCCCGGGTAAATGAAGGTTTCGAAACTCGCTTGAAGAAGTCACAATCACAATGGAGTATTTCACGGTTTCC